GAAAGAGTGCTGGGCTGTCCAAAAGGCCAGTGCTGCGGTCTGCTGTGGGGACTGTCGGCCTCAAGTGAGGTTTACTGTGATTCCTGCAGGGAAACAGGAGCACTTTGGTCAGCAAGTCTGACCATAAAAATGACAATGCCTCAGCAAATAGTTGCATTTAATATATTCATCTTAGTCCAAACCTAATCACTGCGAAGAGACAAAAGTTTCAACATCACTATAAAGATAACTCAGTTTGTTTCCCACCCTGCGAATTAACAGACATTCTATCAGAGGTACAGTGGGTACGGAAAGTATTCAGACCCCCTTAAATTTTTCACTCTGTTATATTTCAGCCATATGCTAAAATCATTTAAGTTCATTTTTTTCCTCATTAATGTACACACAGCACCCCATATTGACAAAGAAACACAGAATTTTTGACATTTTTGCAGATTTATTAAAAAAGAAAAACTGAAATATCACATGGTCATAAGTATTCAGACCCTTTGCTGTGACACTCATATATTTAACTTAGGTGCTGTCCATTTCTTCTGATCATCCCTGAGATGGTTCTACACCTTCATTTGAGTCCAGCTGTGTTTGATTATACTGATTGGACGTGATTAGGAAAGCCACACACCTGTCTATATAAGACCCTACAGCTCACAGTGCATGTCAGAGCAAATGAGAATCATGAGGTCAAAGGAACTGCCTGAAGAGCTCAGAGCCAGAATTGTGGCAAGGCACAGATCTGGCCAAGGTTACAAAACAATTTCTGCTGCACTTAAGGTTCCTAAGAGCACAGTGGCCTCCATAATCCTTCAATGGAAGACGTTTGGGACGACCAGAACCCTTCCTAGAGCTGGCCGTCTGGCCAAACTGAGCTATCGGGGGAGAAGAGCCTTGGTGAGAGAGGTACAGAAGAACCCAAAGATGACTGTGGCTGAGCTCCAGAGATGCAGTCGGGAGATGGGAGAAAGTTGTAGAAAGTCAACCATCACTGCAGCCCTCCACCAGTCGGGGCTTTATGGCAGAGTGGCCCGACGGAAGCCTCTCCTCAGTGCAAGACACATGAAAGCCTGCATGGAGTTTGCTAAAAAACACCTGAAGGGGACTCCAAGATGGTGAGACCAAGATAGAACTTTTTGGCCTTAATTCTAAGCGGTATGTGTGGAGAAAACCAGGCACTGCTTATCACCTGTCCAATACAGTCCCAACAGTGAAGCATGGTGGTGGCAGCCTCCTGCTATGGGGGTGTTTTTCAGCTGCAGGGACAGGACGACTGGTTGCAATCGAGGGAAGGATGAATGCGGCCAAGTACAGGGATATCCTGGACGAAAACCTTCTCCAGAGTGCTCAGGACCTCAGACTGGGCCGAAGGTTCACCTTCCAACAAGACAATGACCCTAAGCACACAGCTAAAATAACAAAGGAGTGGCTTCACAACAACTCCGTGACTGTTCTTGAATGGCCCAGCCAGAGCCCCGACTTAAACCCAATTGAGCATCTCTGGAGAGACCTGAAAATGGCTGTCCACCAACGTTTACCATCCAACCTGACAGAACTGGAGAGGATCTGCAAGGAGGAATGGCAGAGGATCCCCAAATGCAGGTGTGAAAAACTTGTTGCATCAGTCCCAAAAAGACTCATGGCTGTATTAGCTCAAAAGGGTGCTTCTACTAAATACTGAGCAAAGGGTCTGAATACTTATGACCATGTGAGATTTCAGTTTTTCTTTTTTAATAAATCTGCAAAAATGTCAAAAATTCTGTGTTTTTCTGTCAATATGGGGTGCTGTGTGTACATTAATGAGGAAAAAAAATGAACTTAAATTATTTTAGCATATGGCTGCAATATAACAAAGAGTGAAAATTTTAAGGGGGTCTGAATACTTTCCGTACCCACTGTATTTTTCCTTTACTTTATTTTTGACAGAGAAGTCAAACATATAAACCTGTTCCTGGGGGAGTAGTGTCCAACAGCAAGGGGTGATGTCGTTGGCTTGAAACTGTGTGATGTCGTAAATCCATTGATGAACTGGCTGCTGTGAAATGGGGGAACCTGACAATAAATAGAAAATAGATTCATCAGCTGCATTAACATGAAATCAACAAGATGTGTTTATAACAAAATGAGCAGCGAGACACACAGGAGGAGAGTGTTAAATCAGAAGCTGACTTAAGAGTTTAAATGTAAATATTTAAACATTATACCACCTGACTGACTGATGTAATATGACTGCCTTCCTACCAGTGAAATCAGGGCTGCACGATTAATCGTTTTGTGAGCATGATTTAGATCCCTGTGCGATCTCAGTCTCACGTGACAATGATTCTGCCATGTTTGCATGAACTGGGAGTTGCCTTGTTTAAATGTAAATATTTAAACATTATACCACCTGACTGACCGATGTAATATGACTGCCTTCACATCTCAATTTCAAACTACTCTCATCTTCCAGAAATCATATTTATCACAGTTTCTTTCAACCAAGTCAAATCTTCCTACCAGTGAAGGGTCAATGAAGCTGTGTGTTGCCGACCAGGCCTGCGGTGTGATGAGGCCATAGAGGGGGAACTGCTGCTGGGGGCTGTAAACAGGTGGGATGTAGTAAGACGTGTAGCGCTGGACATACGGGTTAACCTCCACTGGCCTGTAACCATTCTTTGGTATGAAAGTGTTGATAGCGATTGCCTTCGCCTTTATCCTCGCCTGGAAGAGCGAGACAGAGTAATCAGGGCTGCACAATTAATCATTTTGTGAGCATGATTTAGATCCCTGTGCGATCTCAGTCTCACGTGACAATGATTCTGCCATGTTTGCATGAACTGGCAGTTGCCTTGCAACAAACCAAGTGCTCCCCTTTTCCTTGCTAAGCTGCAATAGCAGGAACGCCTTAAATCATGTTACATGCTGTAGACAGGAAGAGAAGACTGATTCAAATACAAACCCAAGATGTTTGACATTATGAAAGATATTCTGTGCCCTCCTGCCATTATTTTTCAAACACTGCACTGCCTGCCCCTTTCACCTAGTGCCGAATAGCAGCTGATGCAGAACTATACTCATTGCTGGTATTGGTTAACGCAGCTTAGCGAGGAAAAGGGAGCACTTGGTTTGATGCAAGGGATCTGACTGCTAATGCAAAGGATTCACACAACGGCCGCCCCATTATTTATTCTCGGGGGGACAGTTTCAAATTGGGGTAAAAGTGGAGAAAATTGATTTTTACTTTCTTCTTGCAATCCAGTTCAAATGTTAATTTCTTGCAGTTTCATACTAAATATTAGCCTTTGTTTTGTTGATTTACTCCCTGTAATAAAATATGCATTTCTTTTGTTGTTTATTGCAAATCACTTGGTAGCAAACATTTCTAAACAACCACTGTGCCAGTACTATGTGGAAAAATGCACATCCCAAACACCATTTTCATTTAGCATGACAAGCTTGGAAACAAGTTGGTTAGTGCTTTACTACTGGATGTTTTCACTCAGTGTGAACAACAAGAAGAAAATGCAAAACCGAGAAAGTCTCACTTTCCATTCAGATGTCAGGGCCTGCGTACAATGCAACAGTGCAGTTTACATTTGAAAGGGTAGAAAGCACTGATGGAGAAGCTCTTCTGGTGTGGTGTTAATGGAGATTTAGTGGAACTACTCAGAACCAACATCTTAAATGAGGATCTGTGATTTCTGAATTCTTTGCTGAAAACGATGAATGTTTGTGACAATTACTAATTATGTATGAGAAAGGGTATATTTGTCTTCTGTTCCTTACTGATGAAAATTCAACATTTAAGACAGATGTGCCTGTATTTGGCTTGAAGCATATAAATAAACATAATTCTATAACCACAAAAAATAAAAGATGGATGCAAACAAAAAAGGGGTCTTGTTGCCCATCTCCTGAAATCAGACATTTTAAAGCACAAGTGATAACTCTGGTCTGTTCAATACATACATTTCCTTGTATTTCTGTTGGCATGAATTTATGGAAAGACTGATTTCAATACATGTTATAGCGTTGGACCTATGATTTGTTAGTTTGTCTTATTTGGTCACTGTTTGTCCATCCAGCCTACCTTAATTGGCTTCCCTTGGAAGGTCTTCACCTCCTCACGGAGATATTGATATGCCTTCATTATAAGACAGTGAAGAGCACAGTTAACTTCAATGTCATGACAAACATGAACGGCAACGTTGATGCACAGAATGATAAAGATACTACATGACTCCAAGAATATTACTAAGAGCACATAAAAAAAAATAGTACATCACTTTGAGAAGGTTATTTTAAGAAAAGAGCGACATCAGGGGCCACTGAGCCTCTGTTGATGTGAGTGTTAATACTTCTTACTGGAAAGGTAATCAAATGACTTAAAAAAAAGAAACAAAGATAAACAAAACAGTGATTGCAAAAAGACAAAATAAAAAAAACTAAAAACAAAGAGAAAAAATACAAAGACGTAAAATTACTGCAAAAAATGCAGAATGAACACAAAAAGATGCATAACAGCCAGAGTCTCAAAAACACTGCGAAAACACAAAATGACCACAAAGATGTGCAGAATGGCCACAGATATAAACAACCAAAGTCACTAAAATACTACAAAGACATGCAAAACAATTACAGAGACAAAACGTCCACCACTATAGGCATTTTGGGTTGCTTTCAGGTTAGGGCTCCATTGGAGGGGAGGCCTTTCATGTGTCTGTGCCCAGAGGCCCACGGTCTCATGATAAGCCAATGCACCTGAGCAGAAAGTGTTATAAAATTAAAGAAACTATAAATTAACATGTGCCATTACCTGTTGCGCATCTGCTTCTGATTCAAAGGTGATAAACCAGTTGTCATTGTAGGCAAATTCACAGTTGATGAACTTGGGTAAGTTGTCCCCTTTAAAAAGAGCCTCAACCTCCTGTGAAACAGAAGCCATTTCAGTATCTTATTGTACTAGAGGTGCACTAAAAACCACCTCTGCAAAAGAAACCAACTGCATGGCAGCAAACAAAAGTCAAACCTAATGAATTAATTATTGGTCATACAGGACAAAGTATCTTGACCATTAGTTTGACTTGGTACAAGGTGAACAGGGGAGTGCAGTGTATCAAAGTTTTACTCCTTCAGAAAAATCTAACAATTTTTAAATTATGAGATGATCACGTTGATTTACTTGCTGTGTTTACCATTTAAGCCAACGTGACACTTCTGTGCTTTTACAGGTCCAGTAAGTGCAACAGATCTCTAACCTGTCATTTTCATGTCTCTTAGAACAAACAAGCTAGCTTGCCACACCATACAAGTCAAATATCTAAAAAGTGTCACACCAAACCACAATAAGCCTGGAAACGTGACACCAGGCTGTTGTTGAGCTGAGCTGTATTTAAAAGGCTGGAGTGAATAAGTACAGTTGGCAACCACACCGTTTGCAAAAGCAAGCTCTAAAAGGTAATTTATTGTCTCAGTCATGTTGTAAATCATTTGTTGGCTCAGAATAGTTCATAGGATAATAAAGTAAAACTATGTGCCAAATACTGTTGTTTGAGCAAAATAAAAAATAAAACTGGCCTTGATTTTTGCATCCTCACTGGTTATGAATAAAGCCCTTTTCAGATAGGACACGGTAGGTGCTACACTCTGCTATCAAACTCATTCACGTCTATGTGTTGTGTGGCGCAAGAAGGTATCTGTACTGCACCGAGCTTAGCGTATGATCACGCATGCCAGCCCTGTGCGCTGCACCGTAGTTGGAAAAAACTTTAACTTGTGCATAGCACTCTGTGATGACACCAGACGCAACCAATTGCAGAGAACCTGACAGACAGACCAGGCTTGACTGAAACTGTTCCATTATGCTGAGGTAGAAAAGTGTGGTAATGACAACATAGGCATTCTGCAATTATCTGTTCTGATTTAAAAAGGACACAGAGTAATATTAACCCTCCTATAAACACACACTAGTGAGATGTTTAACTTGGATATCTGCAGGCAGGATGGGTTCCCTTGCTGCCAAGGGTTATTTAACTAACTCAGCAGTAAATACACATGGTCTTCTGCAGATTGACACATCACTGAAATGGCCCCATACCGCACCCAAGACCGCACCGGGTTCTGACTTTAACTACAGCAATAACATATTTACAGTATCCATGGATAAACACATAGACAATGTTTAATGTTTTGTCAAATACCTAACAATAAATATGAATAGACCATGAAAGCAAACTAATAATTGCGCATCAAGACTGGTTCAGTGTCCTTCATGTACAAGAGTTATGCCTGTATTTGGGGCATGAGCAGGATCTCTCAGTATATGCCCATGGAATAATTGTACACCTTATCTTGGTTGACTCATGCTGGACCAACTGCCGCAACCCAGGCACCACACACATCCACTAACCTCTATAGGTGTACTCTCTGGAACCTCTCTGAGGATCACAATGCAGCGATTCTGATTGGGTCGCACCTTCTCCCCCTTGTCATCCACCTGGACCAATGGGAGAGCTGGAGGAAGCCAGACAAATACATTTTGGATAATTGACCAAAAAATTTTATCTGTGAGATTTGGATTCTTGGTTTCAATGATTTACAGATTTGGTTTAACTAGGTTTTCCCCCTAAACTCCCTAATCTTAGTATTTTTACAATGGTAAATGTTATAAGCACTAACCTTAATGCCTTAAATTTCAAAGGGATTAAATACTATTACACGTGGCCTCATAGCAACACAGATAAGTCTATTTACAGTCTATCATCCAACTTTGAACGCATATAATCTAGAATCTGCAAACATCACTGGGCCATAAACTGAAAGTATAGCTTCAATCCAGACTGGACTAATATAAGTAGTAAATTAAATGTAAATGGTAAATGGACTGTAGTTTATATAGCACTTTCTCACAGTGTGTTGCACTGGCCAAAGCGCTTTACAGAAGATCATACACCATTCACCCATTCACGCACAACATTCACACACCGATGACGACAGGCTGCCATGCACCAGCACTAGTCATTTATGTTAACGTAACATCTTAACAGTTGTCCGTGCTCTGCTTGTACACAAGCCACAAGATTAACTATGCCTGCTAAGTTTATCTTGTCAAACAGCATTCTTAGCAGTTTTGCAGTGATCATCAGATTTCTGCTTTACTAGTGAAACCATGAAGTGGCAGATAAATGGTGGCTGCACATGACATTGTACACAAGCCACAAGATTAACTTTGCCTGCTAAGTTTATCTTGTCCAACAGCATTCTTAGCAGTTTTGCAGTCATCATCAGATTTCTGCTTTACTAGTGAAACCATGAAGTGGCAGATAAATGGTGGCTGCACATGACAAACAGAAACACTTCACATTGTGGAGTCAGTTTTTACTGGCTCCGACTCGACATTTAACTCACATCGTAAAATGTCCACGATCAGCTCCACGTCAGTGCTGAGCTTTTTGATGTGGTCCAGGTTGGCCACAGTCACAATTGGCACATACTGGTCGCTGTCCATCTGGGAGATGAGGTACATGTCACTGGCCAGATTCTCCCTGAGACGCAAAGTAGTGGCAGGTGTGGTTAGTGACATGTTAAGTTGTTGCTCAGGTAGCAAAATGATCCCCTATAACTCTGCGGCGGTGAATTTTAACCTTTATTTACTCAGATAGAAGCTAAATGTGCTTCTGATTGTGACCCACACCTGCGCTCACCTGAGAGATGTCACATTACACTTGACATTTAAACACCAAGCAGCTTTGTTTAGGAATTCCAAGGTCACAAATGTAGGCATGTGAAAGTGGTGCATTCAGGCCAAAAGATCTCAGCTACTTCTGCTGCACTTATGCAACTGAGAGCGGAATGGATTTCATAGAAGAAAATGCAACAAGTATTTCGCTTTCACTAGTTTCTTATCCAGTGTGAGAATCCCTCCCATTGCCTTTAAGTTTCTTGACATCTTTGCTACAGTCTATCCATCATGTCGTTTTCGCTTTGTTATTCCTTCTGTAGCTTTAGAGAAGCTGCCTACAAATCCAGACCATAAACTACACTTAGTTTCAGTTCTAAGTTGATAAACATGAGAAAGGAAAAAAAGAGTCAGGTTTGTGAGGGTTTGTTTCCGTCCAAACCAGCAGCTAAACCACCACCACCACAGAGGCATTCAACAGCATGAAATAAGGCTTTCATTCAGACCCTGCCTGGTGCCCACAGACAGAGGGAGAGGGAGAGATGATTTATCAGTACTGAAAACAATGCACCATCCCACAGCACACTGGTAGCAGAAACCTACAGATCTAGTTAGCCACTGATTTATCATTATAATCAATGATTTTTTTCTTTGTGTACAGATGCTGTTGATTATTTTCTCAATAAATGATTTATTTAACAAACTTGAGAGTAGCAAAACAAGAAGCCATCCATTTTAAAAACCCAACATGATATCAGTAGGCTGCTTGCTTCGTCTGACCAACACTCCAAATATCCAGTTTACTACCACGAAAGACAAAAAATGAAGTAGAAAATCTTCTCTTTTTTTTTACTTGGAAATTAATTAGAAGATTTGGTCATCCAAATTACAGTCATTTCTTTAGCTTCATTACAGTGTTCTCTTTAATCTGTTGTTCGTTCTCTCTAGTTAATTAGTTGTCTCCATCTCTTCAGAACAGGACAGATCATGCCATGTGGGAAGTTCTCCTTGGAGGTTTAGTTTATTTGTAGCAACTAAAATGTTATTAAACACAGCTCATGAATAACTAGATTACCAAGAGTTTTAAGCACAATTTTGCTCTGTCTCATCAAAGCAAGAAAGCCTATTCACCAATACTTGGAAATAAACTGACTCCTAAACCAGGATCAACAGTATTTCAGAGGAAAAATAACTAGAACGGGGTTACAGCTGAGTGATCCACAAGCCCCTCTCTTTTCTGATCTTTCTGCTCTATAATGATCGTTTAAGTGCAGCAATTTATCTTGCTGTGGCTCAATTAAAGGGCTTTTCTCCTTTGACAAGTGTGAAACTGCCACTGAGTGATGAGGAAAAGTAGATGGAGCTCAGATTTCAGCATGGTTAGCCTGTCGCTGCCATGCTTTAAAGGAATTCCTGAACAATTACAGCTTTAGTAACAAAGTGTTTTCCTTATATATATTTTGAGTACTACTAGTAGTACTAATTATATGTGATGAATGATGACAACATGACTTCAGATAATTCTGTCTATAATTGAGAGGGCCTGAATGACTAACTATACCATACTGTATCTTGGTTTTCAAGCAAAAACCTACTTGCTATAAGCTCTCTGTAATCAAACCTGCTGATAGTCTTGTTAAAATATATCCAGTACTTCATTGTGATGCAATATTTTGTAAAATAATGGAGTTAAACTTACCGGGAAAGACAGAACTCCAGGGTCTTCTTCAGGTGCTCCCTCAAGCCCTCCTGGGGATTCTCAGGCTGGGGATCACTGCCTGCTGACACACAAGAGGAAAGGTTTTGGTAAAGTAAAGAACAACTCGATTCATCACTGAGCCTGGGAACAAAACATTATTAGGAAACAGAAGCTGAACTAAACTGAATTTATAGCTGAATGGAGGTGAGAGAGAGCAGAGATGTTTGTGAAACATTCCAAGGCTCGGTAAGCTCGGAAGAAAAGCAAAAATATGTTTTATACCTGCAAGAAAAGTATTATAGGCATATAAAATATGAGAACAAATCATAAGGTTTTAAATTGGATAAAAACCTCTAATTTACTTCTTTTCAATCTATCTCTGTCACTAAACCCTAGTGCTCCCTTCAGCTTTGTTCTTGTTGTTGAAATTCCCTTCAAGTGGAGGGCTTTATAGATAAATGTCTGGTCACACACAATGTCTGGTACAGATCAATGAAACTTTAATGCTGCAATAAATTAAAGATGAAACAAACAGCTCTTAAGTGGTCAGTGTGCCTCCAGACAATAAATTCTGCCACTTGAGATTGAGCAAAGCTCTTAACACAATGCAATTTTATTCCCAACATTAAGACTCAAAAAGTAAAATAGAGACAATATTACTAGCATCACTCAGAGGGTTCAACACTGTACAACAGTGATAATTCACTTAACCTGTCAACCAGAACAAGAGAAAATCAGTCTCAGCCGACCACTTGGGCTCAGCTGCATTATAATGTAAAATAATTTCTCATAGTATTAAAAACTATGTTTTAATCAAGGCCCAAGACTCTTCAGGTATTAAATCAAACTAGGAATGCGCTGGTACCAGTACCGAGTTTGAGACCACCCTCTAGTACTTGTATTCAAATTCGCCCAATACTACACTCTGACACCACTTAATGACAAGATTAAGTTACCCTTGTTCTGGTTGAGCAGGTAGACAAAGGACAAGAAATTTCAGCAGTCTGGGGACACTGAGACATAAGGCCAAAGTAAAGCCGACCCCAAGCTCTGTGTCTCTGCTGTATCATGGGGACAGATGCACAGAGCAGAGTAGCAATTGACAATGCTCAATACTTGCAACAAAATCCACTAGTAACAGAGAGAGCAGGAGTAAAAAACTGCTGAACAAGCAGAACACAAAATTAAAGAAACACGACTTCTTCACATGCCCTGTGGTTGACTTGCACAGTCCCATTCGCACAATAAATCAATACAGTGCTTGTTCTGCTGATTGCAGTGAAATCTTGTGGACAAGAAAAACAAACAATTTAATGTAGTCAACGTCTGAGTCTAATGAGTTCTGTGTATGAAAATGAGCTGAATTTGTGTGAAATTTGAGGCTGAGACGGAGCAGCATCGGTCCAGCAGTAGAGAATGTAGCCAGAGATCGTAGCCTGTTTAATGCACGCACCCTCTTTAGTCAAAATGTTAAACTGTCGACTGTGACATTATGTGCTCCTAAACATTTGCATTTGTCGCAGAGCTCACAAAATAATTTCATTCCAACAGTGAGTCCCACTCCTAGAACAGTTAACCACTGTGTTTGAATATGTTAATATGCTATCTATGAATATGGATAAAATTAAATTTATGGTATTTGGGAATCGTAGACTAGATAACGAACTGCAAGTGAAACTAAGGGGAGTCATAATAGAACGAGTATATGAAATTAAATTTCTAGGTGTCATAGTGGATGATAAATTCACCTGGAAATCTCATATCAGATATATTCAGCATAAAATAGCAAAAAACATATCGATATTGGCAAGGGTTAGACATAAAAGCACTACGTATTTTGTATTCTTCGTTGATTTTACCATACTTTGAGTATGGCGTTGAAAACTGGGGAAACACATACATAAGCTCACTTCAACCATTGTATATATTACAAAAAAGAGCGATAAGAATTGTGCATAAGCTGGGATATAGGGATCACACCAATGGAGCTTTCATACAGTCTAAATTGTTAAAGTGGAGTAAAACTATGGAATAATTTAAGTATGGACATAAAAAACAGTAAGAAAATTGATGAGTTTAAACACAGATATAAAGGTATGTGTCAATCAAGATATGGGCAAGAACAGGCTTAATGATTAATCAGGTGGGAGTGTGGATGTAGAACAAAATTATCTATGTAGTAATACTGCTTGCAAACCAATGATGATAAGATGATGTTAGGGGGTAGGACTAGATAAGTCTAACTTCTTCCTACTCCGTTCAAGCATGTACTAGGTATAAGCAAATTGAAAATATATTGTGGATATGTGTGGAATTACGTGTGGTTACATATTGACTGTTGTTACATGTTTGAAAGAATAAATAAATCAAATCAAATGTTGTGTAGTAGGCTTCAGAAATTTAGTCCGTTACATGTTATAGTCAATCACAGGGGTGAGAGTGCTGCATTTGTTTACACAGCAAGTTGCAGGTGAATATGTACAGCTTCCTATTGCGTATATTTAATAATAATCAAAAAGAACATTCAGAAAATTATAAACCATTTCTGAAGTTGCTGCATATTTATGTTACTTGTAATTTACAACAGAAACTGCATTATTATTTAGTGCTGTACTCAGTACTGGCAAGTGCTCAAATCTAAGTACGTGTACTGGGTGTACATAGCAATAGCCAATACACTAAAAAGGATGCCAATATAAATTCCCCTTTACAGATGCACCGATCAACTGGCGGAGGACGGAATTGAGCAGTCTTCAGTGTGATCGGTCTTGAACAATCACTTCAAGATATCCGAATTTATGCTGATCAGTTTTAAAAGGCCCAACAGTCCGCGGCTCAGACCAAAAGCGTAGTGTGTACAGCACGCCGCATCTTGTGTGCACCTCAAGCAAGGCTCGTGTCTGTACAGAGCACATTCACTCACGCAGTGGAAGTGCTTAGTGTACAAACAGTGCACAGAGCAGTCTACAGAAACACCTTGGAGAAGAGAAGCTACATCCAAATCTCCAACAAACCACCATAAAATACAGCAAAAACAAGCTACACAAACTTCACAAAGAACTGTGTGCTCAGTAACACTTCTGTTTCTAGTACCTGTTGCACCTGTTTATGTGTGAAGAAGTACAATAGTTGAAAGCTTTTTTTTTAACAAGATGGAAAACTTTAATACAATGTTTTATTTTTATTACGACAACTTTTCTTTAAAGTTACAAAAATGTCTGTATGCTTTCAAGTACAGTTCTTAGAAAGAAAGAACACCTGATTCAGCCAAAATCTGAAACAGGGATCATCCCAGAAAGTTGCAATCAGTGCATCTCTAGTAAAAAGTGGTATCAGTGCAACCCTAATTCACACCAGGTCATATCACTCATTAGGTTGTCCTGTCTGGCTGAGGACAATACACAACTGCATTAACAGTGTATGACTGGACACCGAACAAAGTCGCCAGACCTTGTAGACACAGGGTAACAAAAACTGAACCCCAACTTCTGTGCAACTAGCCCAGAGCCTGCTCTGACATATAACCAATCACTAACCAGCCCACCTGTGTGCAAAGGCTGCCCAGGCTCGGGGTATACTGTGTAGGCTGGTTCAGAGCACTCCACACTGATGGAGGCCACAGTGGTCGGCTCGGCCAGCATTACTGGCACTGGTGGAGGCTCATCTGGGTTGGTTAGTAGGGGCTTCCTGCAAGCTTTGTCATCACTGGCTTCATAGTCTGTGGCAATCAAGAAGGAGGTATAATAATTATTAAAGGAATGTCGCTGGGGATTGAAAGTGAAGACAAAGTGCCTCACATCTGAGCCCAATCTCCAAATTAACTAAATGTTTATAATGCTTTCACAGCACTAATTCCAAAACAATCAGAGCAACCCATAATCACCAGTATGCTACTCCAGTGTTTCCCCCTGCGTGATGTCACACTCTAGCTCTCTCCTTTCAAATGAAAAATGTCCAAAATCACCATAAAATGTACATCGTGATCATTCAAAAACCATAACAAATATCAAAAAGCTGAAAATAAGATTAATAGCTGAATCTTTTTTGTCCCATTTAAAGATTGAATGGTGTCTGTAGCTGAAGGTATGCTGAAGTTAAGGCTGAAAGAGGAGGAAGTAGGATTATCTGAAGATCCCGTCAATTTGTTTCAAATGTGAAAAATGTATTTTAAAAGCTAAATATTTTTAAAAGTATAAAAAAAAGCTGAATGAAAGCATCCATGTCCTTACAGAGCTGAACACTTTGATGTTTGAATGGTTTTTTTAGCTGAAAATATGCTAAAGTAGTTAGCAACTGAAAAACATACAGAAGTAGTAGTGGCCAAAGGTTTATAGAAGTATCACAACAACACACAATAAAACTATATCAAAAAATCTCAAGTTGGTGCAAACTGCAGTTTAAACTGCTCAGCAATTTGAAACAAACTTGTGCTATTTTCATAATTATTGCTTATCAAAAAACAATATAACTCAATCTAAATACATTTCCATTTAAACTTTGATTTAAATCTATGAGGTCAACAAACTGGAACTTAGAACCACGGGCTATATTTGGGGTTCTTTAACCACTCTGGATCCCAGCCACGTGTTCTGTTTTCTTCTACCCTTCTATTTGCTGGTGTGGTTGCAGCTTGTGTTTGACCTGTAACCTGTATAGCTGCCCCACCAATGCTTATGCCAACACCAAGGTCCTCGCTGTCCCCTTCTGCCCCTCTCACCTCTCTCCTTTCTACCACTCTACCTCATCTTCATTTGTCTCCAGAGTTTTGGGAAAAAAAACGGTTTTGGCTGAGCATCCCCTGGTTTCCTCATCTTAGGTGGTGTCATGCTCAGGTTACCATTAATAGCTGCCAAATAACTAACATTAGTTGCTTTATGGAAAATCATATCGCCTTTACTCAAACGATTATAACGACACTGATTACTGACACATCATAATGTTGGTGTAACATACTGAAAGTGCAGACAAGAGACAAACAGAATGACACTGCAGTTCCACAAGAAAATATTAATCACCACAGACTTACTGCCTGGGTGAAGAATCACTGAAAATAATGCCTTATTTCCATAAACTTCATTGTACATACAAAACCCATTAAGAGCGGTATTCTCAGGTTCATGCTTCTCCCAGGTTTGTTTGTTTGTTCTTACCAAAGCGTTCAGAAATGAATCAGACTGAAGTGAGGAGGAGACGTACAGAGAGGCTCCTGACAGACGCCCAAATGCAAATAATTATTTCTAAATGAGTGAATATTGGGACGGTATTACATTTTAAATATTGCCTGTTGTGTAGGCATGGCAGGTCACCATGCCTGTACTATTGCAGGGAATACACTGTACTCTGAATGAAGGACAGTGAGTGGTTAAGGAGGAGGAAGCAGTTACTGTAAGAGTTTCCTCCCAACACTAAATTCATGATAAGCATGTAGCGGTGAAAAAGTCCTCTCCAGTCTCCTGCATTAAATGTTCCATAAATGTTCTTGCCAACATAAGAGATGAAACAGGCCGGGGTGTCAGAGTCAAATGCAGACTAATCAATAATTTGTGTTTCACCACCATATCCATGTTGCCTCTGCTCTGCCTATACTTGGCTCGGCACATTAAAATGAGTGATTAAAGTAATTCGTGTAGAGGGAACAGTGACTGTGGTTAGAATATTCATAGCTCGTACTAAATTGAAAATGAATGATTAAACAGGTGTCTAAGTGTGACGAGAAAAGTGACAAGAATGGGCATGCTGGAAAGTAAAATAAGGGTTTGTCAGTAGAGCCAACCTGTTCAACAAATCAATGCAGCATAATTATTACAGATATGATGCACTGGTTTATACACTGGCAGATGATCAGTAAATAATCAGCATTCTAACACTTCCAACTCCATTTAGAATTTAAACTCCACCTGACCTGTCTATTCTGTTCAGTGTTTCAAAATTAAAAGACCACACATCGTGTTCGTGCCCAAGTGACGCTTCAACTCCTTTCAGAAACTCAATGACAACCAAAACATCAACTCCTTTCTGTGTTTCACATCCTGATATTTAAATTTTCAATGTTTCAACTAGGGCTGGGTGATATACTGAAATCATTTGATTAGTTGGTGAGGTCTCTCTTGAAAATAAGCTTTGTAATCTCAACAAACACCCATAGTTCATAAAGGAAATAAAATGACCATAATATACTGCATATGTGAATATATGTGTTTCCATATGGAGTGGATTTACACTTTGTTTCATTTGCAATAATGGCCCAAAAAAGATGCTATTCATAGAGGAAGTCTGCGTATTTTACAACCGAAATGGCTGGCTGACCTTCTGGGCCGGGATCGGCCAAACTATCACAGCCTTCCTTCCATGGCTGCAGGGCAGCTGTTGTGGTATCAGTACTCCCACTGGGGTCCAGGCTAAACATGTGGTTGCCCCATGCTTTCGCATTGGGGTTGAGGTCTGAAACCTTGGCGGATTCCTGTGAACAGAACAGAAAGTTTGGTCAGAGATGTCAGCTGATGACCATCTGCACACAGACAGTGAATTATTAAAAAAGACAAATGCTTACCCACTCATATCATTACACATTTAATGTAACTGTCACTCATTTTTGGAAAAAATGTTAATATAAATGGTCAAACTACAAGTTGGTACTTTATTTCTTACTGCCTCCATCGTATGTGAGTGGATGGATGGGTGAATCGACAAAAGTGCTTTGTCCAGGTAAGGTAGAAAATGCCACACACATGCACCCCATTTACCATTTGTTGTTCACCAGTAATTATATCACTGAAAGATGAAATATTTACAGTGGGTACGGAAAGTATTCAGACCCCTTAAATTTTTCACTCTGTTATATTGCAGCCATATGCTAAACTCATTTAAGTTCATTTTTTTCCTCATTAATGTACACACAGCACCCCATATTGACAGAAAAACACAGAATGTTGACATTTTTGCAGATTTATTAAAAAAGAAAAACTGAAATATCACATGGTCATAAGTATTCAGACCCTTTGCTGTGACACTCATATATTTAACTTAGGCTCTGTCCATTTCATCTGATCATCCCTGAGATGGTTCTACACCTTCATTTGAGTCCAGCGGTGTTTGATTATACTGATTGGACGTGATTAGGAAAGCCACACACCTGTCTATACA